AACAGGGATGTCCAACTCCAGGCCTCAAGGGCCGGTGTCCTGCAGGTTTTAGATGTCACCCTGGGTCAACACACCTGAATCAAATGATTAATTCATCACCAGGCCTCTGAAGAACTTCAAGACATGTTGAGGAGGTCATTTAACCATTTAAATCAGCTGTGTTGGATCAAGGACACATCTAAAACCTGCAGGACACCAGCCCTCGAGGCCTGGAGTTCGACACCTGTGCTTTAAAAGATTACCCCCTTTAATAATAATAAAGAAATGTCAAAGCGCTTTTTAGCTTTATGTGCTTTGCTTTTATTAAAAGATAAGGGGAACGACTACTGACTTTGTCACTAAAGTAAAACCTACAGGAGAGAATAATGCTGACTTTAAACTCTGCTCTCTTCTATATTCGATTTGACTTGTATTAGCTTTTACACAAGAATGACTCACACCTATCCACATACATACAGTAGATGAAAGGAAAAATAATCTCTCTACATCCACATTTTAGTCATGCATCCAGAGGCCAGGAAGCAATGCAACTTTCAGGTAATATGATATGTACGATAAAACTAGATTAGCTGCTCTCTTACTGGCAGCTGTTTCATTTATTTATCAGTTTGTTTAAAATGCTATCTATCGTGCTTCCTTTTTTCTCTCATTGGATATTGTTATGCTGGATCTCCACAGTACACACAAAAATGGACATCGACATTTGTGAAAGTAATCCCTGTGAGCCCAAATCTCAGACTTCAGGCTACTCTCTTTCAGCCACTCTGTTCTACTCTTGGCCCTGTATGTTGTCAGTATTAATCAGCCTTATGGTCACATCAGGCCCACAGCTCTGACTGAACACAAACTCCACCCACCTGCTGTTAGAACGTTTTGTTTACAAGGACTGAGAATTGTTTGAGATTCATTTTTTAATTTTCTTCCATATTTTTTGTTAGAATTCTTCCATTTTTAAGGTTAATGTTTTCCACCTAATTTCCAACTTTCTGTTTGAATTTGGTATTCTGCTTTTGCTTGGCTGTCACAGCACTTTGTAAACTCTGCATTTACAGGTGCTACACAAATTAAGTTCTTATTGTTAAAGGGCGGAGGAAGCAAGTTAAAAGAGCTCGTCTCAGCTGAGACTAGACAAGAGCTGAGAGGTTACACCCACTAATGTCCAGCAGAAGGTAAACAAGGAGGATCTGGAACTATGAATCACACAAAGCTACTCTGAGTTAAGAATAGGAGCATGAAGCTGGAAATTAGCATAATAGGTTCCCTCTAGGGCTGTTGAAGCAGACAAACATTGGAAACAGGACAAATCGTTAACCTGCACACTGTCTACATATTAAACAGAGAATAATATGTTCTCTTTGTCATGAAAATATGCTGACATATAACGCGTCCCTGACAATGCCCCCGGGAGACATCTAAGGTCTAAGCACTGTCTGCAAAACATTGTCTGTTGAGTGATGAGTCATTTCTTAATGTGTCAGGATACCAAAATAAGGTTCTGTTTTTAGCTTAACCACTGCTTAGAAATATTAAGGTGGAAAGCCCCACTACTTCCTCATCTTCGACAACAAAGTTGTTTGAGCTAGCAAAGGTAAATGAAAACAGGTGTGCCAACAGCTACACAGACATAAGCCTGGAATCTGACCAACCTCATTTGTAATATCATAGACCACGATGGCTGCCTGTGCACCTCTGTAGTACATGGGAGCCAGACTGTGGTAGCGCTCCTGACCGGCCGTGTCCCAGATCTCAAACTTGACTGTTGTGTCGTCCAAACATACCGTCTGAGTCAGGAAGGCAGCTGCAGGGGTACAAAGCAGACGGACCAGTAACAAGTGGGTCTTTAAATACTGAGCTACACAAATGTGTTTCAGTCAAGGTGACATGGCCCAATGTTGGAAACCAAAGGAATGACTTTGGGGATGACATTAAACATCCAAAATCAAAATGGGTGTAATTTGCTCAAAGGCACTTTTAAACCACATGTTAAACCTTAGTTTGAAAACTATGCTCTGTTTTAACTGAAATGAGAACTGTGAATAACACTTAAATGTTGTTTTTACCCAATCAGCTAATGCCAGCAGACCACTGACTGTAAAGGACTTTTTTTTTATCTTAACACACAGCCTTGGACACAGACTAGTAGTGGTGGAATGGCAGGATGATTGGATTATTTTCAGTAGTGAGTACAGTAAAGGTGTCACCTGGCGCTGAGGGTGAGATTATCAAGATAACCAAAACGCAGTAACCTAATGGACCAAAATATTTGCATAGCTGCCTGTTCTAATAAGGCATTTTTATATTGACAATTCCTCACATTCCCCCTTTTCCCAACTGAATCTCATACTGGCTACATGCTCTTTTGAGGAGTTCCAGTTTCCCCTGGTGATACTTTCTCTGTTTTACTCCAACACACCTTGATGATTCTATAGCCTTACTTCTTAAATGAACTTTAGGCTCTGGGACTATGACTCTTAGTACAGCTATCTGCATGTAGCCGTTATGTTATCAAGCATAACATTTAGTAAATATTCCATTATGTGGTTTACTGGAAGTCTCAGAGATGGCCTGTTCACAGAGCAAAAACAAACACGCCAACACTGACTTATGATGACGTAAGGATTACGTACCTCCAATTGTGCTCTCTTGGAATTCATGAAACTGACCCTTAACGAAACGAAGTACAAGGCTTGACTTTCCCACCGCGGACTCTCCTAAAAGCACGAGTTTGAACTGGCAAATCTTGTTGCCTGCGTTTGGCCCATTGGGTCGCGTGGCTCCGCCTCTACTTGCCATGTCACACTGTCTGGTCTCGTCCCCGGGATGTGAAAAACTGTAGAAAAACACCTTAGCAGGAGAAAGAAAATAAAGCAAGGTGTCATTATAAAAGAAGATCTTATTAACTGATACAAAAATGAAAGATAATAAGAATTTATGTGGTAATTTTGCCTTTGCAAAACATTTAGTCCCTGCAAAAACCAAAGTGCCAGTTCAGGGTTTTTCCTGTATTTAATACACTTTGGGGAAAGGACAAAATCTCTGGAAGCCACCAAAGTAAAATAAAAACAAAAAAAGAAAAAGGGAAATGCATCCCCCTGGTTAAGTAATGTAACATGCTCATTTTATCAATACACAGACCAACTGTCAACCCTAAAAGGCAGATTGTGAACCAGGACAAACCCTGCAATTGATCAGTGTTTTAAATTATTCAGCTTTAGCCTTTGGTTAATGACCCACACCACCATTCCTAAATCTAAAAATACCGCTTTTAGAACTCTTCATAAAAAGCTCCTGGAAACTACTTTTTTAAATGCATAGAGATGCGTATACAGCTGCGTATCAGGGCAACTGATATTTGATCTGTTAAATTTTATAATGTTGTTTTAACTATATTTCTTTTAAAATAAGAAGTCCAAATCCAAAGGCAAAATGCCACGGCTAATCCCGTAAACATGAATGGAAACTTACTCTAGTTTGGTACAAATTGACACATTACACATAATTTCAAATTACCGGACTCTCATTCAGCTACAAACATTAGTTGGATGTCCGCTATAGTAACAAGCAGCAATACCAGATTTAAAGAGAGAGAGAGAAAACTTTGCCTGACAGCATGTTCAAAGTTTCGGAAACTGATGTCATACATATATTTATACTTGTGCCTCTAAGCTTATTACCCTGTACCAGTTCAACAACAATTACAAATGGCAAGTTCAACAACTGTTCTGGCAGTGAAAACCCCAACACTCACACACAAACAACGTGTGTGTGTGTGGCTTCAACTACGTGAGGCAGACAGAAAGAGGACACATGTCCACCAGTCTGGACACATGTGTGGGAAAAAGTATTTGGGTCAATTTAGTGGTTTTGTTGTTTGTCTTTCATGATTTTGTAGTCAAACAAACAACAGCCACAACAACAGATTACCTCTGTAACCTAGACATTAACCATTTCCACCATCAAACTAAACACAGAACATCGCTCCAAAAATAATTGCTGTCAACTTCGAGCGTCGAAATCGCGTTACGACACAGAGATCACCACAAATAACTTGTTGTGTTGTTGCCGAGTGGATCGTTTTAGTTGGTAGCAACTGCTAGCGTTAGCAACATAGCTAGCTCATAAGTTCAAAATGCCTAGTCCAAAACCCAATCTGCGTTTGTTATAAAGCATGATTTCGCTTGATTAACGCTGGCGTGAGTGCGGGTAGCAGCATACCAATCAAGCTTATACGCACTAAATATGACACTTACATAAGTTCTGAAAATGCTCAAACTCAGATGATGGAGATTTGGGTGTGTACAGCTACTGACAGCTAGCTAACGTTAGCTCCGTGACGGTGAATTAGTGAAGTAGCTTATCAAGCAGCGTTTGAAAGAGAACTGCAACTGTTTGTGAGAGTAAAAGTGGATTAATGCTAATGTGTGGGTAATCTAAACGTGATGATACCTTCAGATTTATCAGCAGAACAACGTTAACTAGGCTAAGTTGTACGGCCCTTCCAGTATCGGCTAGCTAATGTTAGCTAGCCAAATAATAGGTACTGGGCAGGCTAACGTTGTTCAGCTGCGGCCGCATCGGGAGGAGCCCTCCAGATAGCCTACAGCTAGTCAGCTAAAGCTAATATTAGCTACTTACCTATCAAAAACAGGAGCGTAGTTAATGGTAAAGGTATCTCCAGGACAGTATTTGCAGTACTTCAACGTATGTTCACAGTGTGTCGAGTATCCAACCAGCTGCTGAAACGTTAGATTTCATAAGGCTCAGCGAGCTCGCTCTCCCACTTCTTTCAACTTCCCTTTTCGCATTGTACGAAGGATGATGACAGATCGTATGACTGGAATTCACAATCCGCCTGCGTATCAGGGTGGCCAACCAATCACACGCCAGGATTCATACCAAATTTATTGAAATATGTCTGTCTCCAAAATAACAAAAGAGAGTATCTACATTTTTTTTTTATCTTTAAGCTAGTGAGCTAAAAGCAGGGATTGCGGTTCAAGGTTAATGCCACTGACTCAAAGCAATAAATACATTAGACAATGTGTTTTATTTTGGACAAGTTAGTCATTCACATGGTCTCCCCATTGGTTATCACAATCTTTGATTCGCTTGAAAGGTATTTTAAACCAAACTAGAGTATTAAGTTGAATTGCTGAACTATGTTGCTAGGCAACGGTACTTAAACAGGTGCACAGCTCTGCGTCCGAGCACGACAGAAACCCGTTTGGCCTTAAAAACTTCCCATACCTAGTTAGAGACAAACTTTACAAAGGCTCTATCTAAATTCATTATGACTGACATTAACACGTCTAGCGAAGTGAAATGTACTGACAGAATCCGAAATATACCGAAAGTAAGTCTTTTTTAAGATAGCTTATCCTGTGCTATCGTACTGCTATTGTATTGTTTTAGTAAAATAGACCTTTATTTCTCTAATATTAACCATAGTGAACTTTTTTTTCTTTAATGCAGGCCGGGAAACTAATACCTCCAGGAGACAGTGTCAAAATCTGCTTACGAGAAGTGGAAAGAGTGAGTTCATTTTTATGTGTTTAGACATGGCATTCAGAGCATCCGGAAGTGGGGATAATTGTTGGAAAGTATAACTTCCAAGTGAAACCCCCCCCGGAAAAATCACTTGAAGCTCTTTGGACGTCTCTATCTATTATCTCAGTTTGAAACAGTTGTTTTACATCTGTTGGGATTATTAATCAGATTAATTTTTTTTTTAGACAAAATGTGTGAAATTGTGGGTTAACTCTTTCCCTGTAATTTTCAGCCCACGACTCCACCGGTGGTGAGGAAATTCCGCAATAGCAACCAGCCCGGACCAGGAACTATCCGAGTCCACACAGGGAAGGCAAATGACCCAGATGTTGGCAGCACTCTTGTTCATGGTGTCATCACCAAAGCACCCCTCACTGTGAGTATGAGCTTCCTGTGATTGTTAAAGGGACAACAGGGAAGGTTTTTAACTAAACTGAAATTTGATAGGTTGATATTTTGTTTAGATCATGACCAATGACTCGTGTATTGCTCTGCTTGGTAGTGGATTTAAGGCTCATATAACTTAAATGGAATTGACACAATAAATGAAATGGCATTTATACAGTGCAGAAAATTAAATATAATATAGTATATAAAATTTTCTGGACACACTGTATATTTTTTATTCCATATATATGGAATTTATTTATTTTGTTTTGTTTATACTGCTGTACATCTTTGATGTATGGTAGTACTACAATTTCCTTCACTATTTTACAAAGTATGACTGTGCAATCACAATAAAAAGTTACACTTGAACTAGCACTTAAACTAGCACTTGCTACAAATAATATCCTGTATGTAACTGTGTACAACTGTACTGTTGTTTAAGTTGGACTTTGACTTTGACTTTAGTGACTTAAGTATGGAAGGAAGTAAGTCTCACCACCTTACAGTTGATAAAGTAGTAATAGATTTCATTTCAAGATTTGGAGGATGCTCATATGTGAATTTTTACCTTTTGTACATCAATTTATGATAAAAAAAAATGTCAAAAACATTGGCAAAAGTTCAAACTATCCTGGATTAAAATACAGTGAGGCTCTCACTTATTCTGTTTTTGTTATCCCTGTTAAGTTTGTGTTCAAATGTGTATGATTTACTTTTGTTTGTACTCTTCATGATTTATGACAAGCTTTAGAGTGCAGATATCAGATATAAGGCTACTTTTGTGCACATTCAAAACACACACATACAGTATACAGGACTGCGCTGTGCACATTGAAGAGAATGGCAACCTCAACATTGAAGTTTACCGGAAGCCCACACACACGGACCAGTACCTCCTCTTTGA